AGTCACTCTGTACTGACAGGCACTGAAATCTGAATTTCTTACAATTCTCACATGTCATGCAATACTACTTTCCTTGTAATTTGTTCACAGCTCTTTAAAAGTGTAAAAGCCACTGTTGGTTCTTGATCCATACAAAGAAGGTGAAGGGTAGAATTAGGCCAGCAGAGCCTAGTGTGCAAAATTGCAGGCCCCACATCCCTCGGGCCTCGTGAGGGACACGGGATCCCAGGCCGGCTCGAGCTCCAGGACTGCGATCCAAATGTGAACCAGATACCCCAGTAACTCATATGCAAATAAAGTCTGAGAAGTCCTGCTCCAGAAAAGACTTTTGAAGCCAGGCGCAGTGGCACACATGCCTGTAATCCCAGCGCTCTGCCCCAGCACTCTGAGGCAGGAGAATCAGAACTCTGAGCCCAGCCTACACAACTTGGCAGGTCCTGTCTCACAATTAAAAAACACAAAATAAAAGCAAATAAGGGCTGCTTAGGGCTAGGGATATACTTCTGTGTGGAGGCCCTGGATTCAATGTCCAGTACTACCCAACAACACAAATAAAGAAAGAAAAAAAGGAAGGGAGGGAGGGAGGAAGGAAGGAAGGGAAGAAGGGAAGAAGGAAGGAATGGAGGAAGGAAGGGAGGGAAGAAAGAAGGAAGGGAGGGAGAGAGGGAAGGAGGAAGGAATCTGGCTCTTTACAGGGAAAGCGTGCCCCACCCTGGTCCATACCACCATGCAAACGTGCAGTTGGCCCTCTTGGTTAGAATGAAGGAGTCTCAGGGAGGGAGGGAGGGAAGACTCCTGAGTCTGACCGGATACCTCTCACTTGCAGGCTGCACAAGCTCCTTAACTCTCGGGGACTCTGCTTCCTCACCATCTAAAGCGAGTGCTCTAGGCCGCACCATCTCCAAGGGCTGCTGCGAAAGACAGAACAGATGCACACCACTCGCCCGGCGTTCTCGGTGCTCTGCAGTGGCAGCCAGTGTTGGAGAAGCTCACTCGTTTTAAAACCTTCCGGCAGAGATGAGAGCGGGCATTCAGGATTTCTGAGCTTCCAGTACCTGACGAGGCAGCTAACCATTCACAGGGCTCCTTGAACTAACTGGACCACTGCAGACGAGGGTCAGCCAACACCGTGCGCTTCTGAAAGGGCACAGCCGGCGCCTGCCTGTCACGGTCATGTGGGCGTCAGATGTCTTCTGAGGGCTCAAGAAAGGCTAAAAGCCTGAATTTAATCTTAGAAATACTCCCTAATTCAACATGCCGTGCAGATGAAGCAAACCTACATACCTGCAGGCTGTGTGTGCCTCAAGGGCCTCTGGTCTGTGACACTGCCTCAGAAAAAGTAACAGGCTTGGGATCACGAGGAAAGGACCACGGCCTTTGGAGCAGGATCCCAGCACCATTCTTTCCAGCCTAGTGACCTTGACCAACTTAATTACAACTAGGAGCCTCAGTTTCCTCGTCGGGCAAATGATCACATCTGCCTCACAGTTTGGTGACAATGGAACAAAAATGTCTGTTAAGCACAGGCCAGGGCAACTAACGAGTCGGCCCTCACCGTCACTGCTGGTGTTGTTTAGTACTACTGCTGGTATGTCCATCAGTTCCCAGTACACAGAAAGGAAGTCCGCGCCACTCCAGGGGCCGTTCTTCTCTCCTGCTCACACTGGTTCTGAAGGAGACAGCCCACCCGGCCCCACGCAGACGCCCCCGCAGCGAGACTGAGTGCCCAAGGCATCCTTCCAGCCGTGGTTCCTACAGAAGCCTTCCTCTGCCTGCACTGAGCTCCCCCGCGGCCTGCAGGTGGCCCTTTCCTGGAGGCCGCTGTGAGAGATGTTTTTCCCAGGCTGGGTCACCTGTAAGGCCGCTTCGCTCCCAGCTGTCTACCTCAGGTGCAGGAGAAAGCTCATGCTGAGAACTGTGAGTGCTCTGCTCCCTGAGACAGGGCGCCTTCATTTTCATTTATTTTGTTTTTAAAACTCCCTCTCTGCCACCTAAAAGCTTCTGCGACAACAAAAATGGGAGGGCACCATCGCTCTGAAAACCTCGTGTGAAATGCACCAGCCTGACAAGACCTTGGGCCTCCCTCCCGCTGGCAGGGAGAGCCCAAGGGGACGCGTTGCGTGACGAAATCGTGCCTCCCAATCAGCCAGGGACGCTGCTGCAGAGCAGGCTCGGTTCAGGGACCTGGTCCAGGCTCGAGGTCCTGCATCCCTCACACCATCCCCAACGGGGATGCTGCCGACCCTGCTTCGGCCTGAATTCGCACGACCCTCCTGCCCTACCCCAGGCCTCCAAGCAAGCGTGACCTCCTGAGAGAGACCCTCCTGCTCTCTTTATCAAAAGTGTAATTATTTATGGAATGGGCCTGGAATTCTATCTGTTCTGTTCTCTGCCAAATCCTCAGTGCCAGGGGAGTGCCCAGCCCAGAGCAGGCACTTAAATACTTGTTCAAGGGGGACAGGTGAATTTGGGAGTGAGGGAAATGAAACCCCGGGCGCCTAAGTCATTGGTCTAAGGTCACACAGCCAGCCAAAGCCAGAGCAGGTGACTTCCCCAAGCAGTGTGTTTACAGCTCGCTTCCTTCCGCCCTAGAACTTCATGCAGGGACGTGGTAATACCATTCTCTCCCATTTTTAAGAGATGCCTGCTGTACGGGCAATGGACTGGGGGTGGGGACAACCCAGGTGGAAGCAGAAAGACCCGTTAAGAGCATGCAGCAGCAAGTAGACCGCGGGGGAGTGGCAATGGAGGGGCCCCTGGCACTCGGGGTGGGGAGCCCCACCACTCTCAGGTCCGGTCAGGCCGGCCTTTCTCCCCACACAGGTACCATGCTCTTTCTCTCAGGGGCTCACAGCCTCCCTGGCTGGCGGAGGGTATTGTGGATATCAAACTGCCAAAAAAGAAAACTGCGCTGTAACCCAGAAGTGGCTGTCCAAAAGGTCACCCAAAGTTTGCCCACGGGAATTAAAGGCGGGACAAGGCAAAGAGCGGCTTCCTTTCCGGCGGTGAGGGGAATGCCATAAAAAGCCCACTTGCAACACAAGGTACAGCCTTTCTGCTGCTGCAAGGAGGCAGACTGCTTCCGCATGAAAACCCGTCTCACTTGGTGAAAGGGTCTCTTTCCCAGGTCCCTGCAGAATGGGCTAAAAAGCAAAGGCTTGTCCTCCCATCACAAAACCAGCTGGGATAAACAGCCCCACGTTCTCTAAGAAGCTGTGTCACCAGACCTACAGGCTGATCCTGGACTCCGAGCCTCCGCACACTCTAGTGGGGTTTCCTCCTGAGCAGGGGTGGGAGTGAGCTGACAGTAATGAAGGAAGTCAGAGAATCTTCACCGTGTCCCTGGGAAGGGACAACACTCTCAGTATCTCTCTGAATCTCTGCAGGAGCAGTCTGAGGTTAAGCACCCCTGTCATTCCTGCTTATTAGCTGCGGAGACTAAGAGCTAGGAGGGGTTAGGGCCCGGGCAGAGGTTGGAGGTCACACAGCTGGGAAGAGGAGCCAGGCTACCCACCAGCACTGCACAGCTACCTACCAGGCCTCTGGTCAGAAGGTGACCCACAGGCCGAGGACAGGGAAAAGTGGAGCCTGAAATCACTTACCCTGCCCTTTATCACCTCCATCAAGGTGCAGGACAGATCAAAAAGGAAGCCACAGCTGGGTGTGGTGGCACATGCCTGTCATCCCAGCACTCTGGGAGGCTGAGGCAGGAGGATCACAGTGAGCTCAAGGCCAACCTGGGCTACATCAGCAAGTTCAAGTCCAGCCTGAACTAAAAGCAAGACTCTGTCTAAAAAAAAAAAAAAAAAAAAAAAAAAAAAAAAAAAGGGCTGGGGATGCAGCTCAGTGCAAATTCCCTGGGTTCACTCTCCATTACCACTCAAAGAAAAGAAGCCATGCGTCGTTCTTGGTCGCAGTGGATTGGTTCACAAAACAAGGTTTCTATACCCGTCCCCATGTGTGACACACACAGGCCCCAGTCCAGAACACACCCATGTGGCCACGACGCCGGCGCTGCTGACGGACGCCTATGTCTGCCAATTACATATTTATAAGCGCGCCTGCCGGACCCGGACACAGAAGTTATTAAACGCTCGGAGCCATCAGGGTTGCGCTCAGTGCCCTGAAACAAAGGCGGGGAGGCTGCCAGACCCATCTGAGGCGGGAACAAAAGCACTCATTTCCACGGCACCGGCGCGAGTTCCCCGTAGCCGGTGCCCAGCACACGTTACCACCACTGGCAGGCAAAGGGCGGGGGCCAAGATACACTTCCCTCCCTCGCACCCCAAACAGCTCTCCTTGGAGGGGTGTACGCTCGCTGGGAAGGCGAGAGGGGGTAATGAACGTCCGCTCCTGTCACCATCTTTCCTGTTTATAAAGCTGCCAAGGAGGAGCCCCCTCTCCTTGCATCACCGTCCAGAGGGGCCCAACGCCGGCACCCCGACTTGTGTCAGCCAGCGCCCCAGCAGCCAGATGCACTGAGCGTGCGCCCAGATCCCTGACTCCCAGCCCTCATTCCAGTCCAGGCCGAGGCTGCCTGGAAGTCAACATTCGAGGCGCATTAATGAGAAACATCTGGCCACCGAAGAGGGTTGACACAGCACAGGCGGGCAGCGGTGGATTTGCGGTTGGGACCCAGAGTCACAGGGGCTGAATTTACAAACAGTCGCGAACACCAGGCAGACGGGCAGACCTGCCCGCACCGCCCTGGGGCGCTTGGCAACACCGCTGCGCCCGGGGTGATTGTTTGGGGCCGAGTTACCTAGACACCCAGCCCCGCGAAGGCACCTAAAAACCCTGGCCAGGAGGGAGGCCAGGCTGCCCGAGCGCCAGCACCCTCCTGCGTCCGGCCTCCACTTCCACCTTCAATATTTGTAGCAGATGTAGCTGCGCTCTTAAAGGAGCCGCCTTTGCATTTGCTCCATGTGACTTCCAAGTCCCATTTGCAGGGCAACGTTACTTATTTTCCTCCCGGCATCGCTGTGCGCAAGGCATCCTACCTCCATTTGTGCAGGGTGAGCCCCGGGCACTGGTCACCGCAGGCGGTACACGGCTGGCCTCTTTCGATCCGCCCCAGTCCTGCCAACTTCAAAGCAGAAAGACAACACAGGCATGTCTGAGACGGCTGCGCCAGAGCCCCGGGCGTCCCAGGTGACGGCCTGTCCTCCCTCCCCCACCAGCGGACTCCCCGTCCACCCCCACCCGGGCCGGGGGTGGCGGGCGCTGCCGCGCCCCAAGGGTGGTCGCGGCCTGGAGAAGGCGTGCCCAGGTGGGCTGTCTCCGGGGCACCAAACCCCAGGGGATGGCCTTGGCGGGGGCCTGTCTCCCCCCACACACCTGGGTCGCCGCATTCTGAGCCACAAAGCTGCACCTCTTCCTTCCCCCCGAAACCCCACGGGGCCGCCGGGGGCCCGGGAAAGGGACAGCAGAGGACGCCCCGAAAGGCAGCCCGAAGTCGGGCGCGCCCGGGGCCGCAGCCCGGTGGGTGCGGGGTCCACCCGCCCCC